GTCCTGCCAGAAAAAGTCGCGGCGGAAAATTAAAATCGTGCCAGAAAATTGAAGTCGTGCTGGAATGTCAGTTTATGTCGTGCCGGAAAGTTGAAGTCGTGCCGGAAATTTAAATTCGTGTTAAAGTTATGAACTCATAATTTTTCACCTAATTTTCTTTTGTGTTAAACTGATTTATGTATCTTAGCATAAATGTTAAACATGTGTTTAACTTATGAACTCCATTTTTTTTTCTGAAGAGCATGGGGTGGAAGTAGCTAGAAAAAAGAAAAAAAAATTAATGAATCCAGAAGCCTTTAAGTGCTATTGAAAGAGAGAGACTGACTTTGCTGTACGTTTCTTTTGTAAGAGATATCAATGCCTTAATTTCTCCTAATTCCTTCCAACTAGCAGTGAGCATTTTAAATAAAAGACTGAGACAAGTTACCACATACATTATTATTCTAGTGTTCTTGTTAGAGCCCGAAAAAGGCGTGAATAGATAAAAAACATGTGGTACAGTCGGTTACTTTTTCAGTTGTGGAGAAACATGGCAGACAAATTTGCTTTCTCACATTTCTTAGGAAATTAGTAGAAACGAGGTCAAACTTTGATGTATTTTGTGGTACCGTTTTAAAGTTTCGCTTTAAAAGGGATATCGATAAAAGCTGTCAGTGACATCGCACGGCTCCTTCCGCAATGCTATATGGAACAGAGCTTTTCTTTAAAACTCTTTTGTCGGAGTATTCTCAGCACAATCTGAAGAAGGCGGAGATTATTCTTTATATTCATTTTTCTATTTTGTTTCGCGTCCGAGAAAGGAGAGAAATTTCCATATGTTTCTTTTTTTACTGGGAATATGGATGTTTGTTTAAACGGATGAAACATTTATCAACAATCTACGCTTTTTCATCTTATTCCTGCTTTCTCAGCAAGTTCTTTGGAAAAAGAAATGAATCCTACCGCGATTGTAATGTACGTTATAGAAAAGTTGATCTGTCAAATGGAAAGTTCGACATTGGAACTGGACCTGAACTATAAGTTATCAGCATACAACTCCGGAATTGACAGCACTTATATAAAATGCTCGTTATTTCCTTCTTCTTCTTCTAATTGTTTTTATTTCGGAGAGCAGTGTATTTATAGTGTATGTGGATAATTACTAAATTGGAGTAAGTCGATAACAACATTAGGAAATTTATTAGATAAGTTTCTCAAGAACGAGTTTTAAAAGACGAACAACTTTCCTTTATTCTTTATTCTATTCTTTTACCTTATTTCCTCCCTTTTTTTCGGACATTAAATTTGATTAAAGGAAAGGAAATGACGGTTGACTTCTCGGAGAAAGGAGTAACACTAAGATAATCTTTACTGAAAAATACATATTGTCATGGACCGTATTTTTCGGGAATAGATAAATATAAGTAATTTTCTTCGCTTTTCAGAAAAAAAATTATTATTTTTCGTGTTACTGCGATATTTTAGTTTTCCCAGAAAAAAATCCCCTTCGTAGTCTATATTTTTTTCAGCAGGGAGTATGTGAATTATTTGTACTTTTTTCACTCTTCGGCTTTCAGAACATAGATTTGTTTCAGCTGTTTCCCCATTTTTATTTGCTCGAGCCTTTCTTCCCCAGTGTGTAGCAGCTCAAGTAACAATATGATTCTGCTAACTGTTTTGTTTACCTTGTATCTTTTTAACTAGATAAAGTGAGTTTCAAGTGAGCCGCCCCCCCCCCCCCCCCATCTTTCCTTTCATACGCATCTTTCCTACTTGTGATATGCGCCGAGGAATTTGAAAGAGATGAGGCGACTCTCTGAACTTTATAAAAGTCGATCTTCAATACCTGTCTTTTTACGCGTGTTCTACATCTTGCAAATAGATATGTAGCGATATCTATATATTCCGCCTGGTTTTTTGTGCACGAGCTGTCTCCGTTAAATCAATAGATTAGTTTGTTAATTAATCATTTTTTAACCACAGCTTATCATTTCTGTTTTTTCTTTTTCTTTTTCTTACCAGCAAGTTTCGTAAATTTACAATATAACATTATTTACAGTGACGTTGAGAATGGCGTTTTATACGACAACAGTGAACGGCAAATGAATAAGTAAATGCTGCTCAAAAAATAGCAATAGGGCTTATATTTAGCCTCATATAAGTATTTCCGATACCCAAAAAAACATACCAGAATGTTTGAAAATAAATTAGCCAAGGAATGCAATACTTGAACAAACGCCCGATCGTTTGTTCCTACGAACTTTGATAGTGTTCAGAATGGTCCCGCGGTCAAAAAAAAAAAAAATGGAGTCTTCTGTAGTCGGAATTTATACGTATGTTGATTAAATATCGTCGGGTTTATATCTGAAGTTTCAGTGTTTACTTAAGCACGAACCCCACAGCCATTTCATAAACTCGGGCTCCGTGTTTGATGAAAGCCATCAGTTATCATACCAGTCCATTCTTCCTCTGTTAAATCAGACTGTGCATAGCCATTAAAATTGGCATCGTTCTAGTTTGCTTAGTTTCTCCCCAATGTAACTGCAATTCATAAGAAGTGTTCACCGTTAAGTCCAACCAATATTAATTGGAACGGCAACTCAAATTTAGTGGCAGCTGTTTACAAAGTTTCTGAAGCGAAATGAGAGAGGTTTGTTAGGCAATTGGAAGTGAAAGCTTTTACTATTGGAAAAAAACTCGTATTGGACATTTTGGTGTGCTATATCGGTGAGCATTCGTAGTCATTACTTTGATTCTAGTCGCCGCCACGACAAAATATAGCGTTTTTTTTTTATCTAGCAACACTTCATTTCAAGACGTGTCATGATTTATTCATAGTAGACCTTCATTTCTTTGAGACACAACAAAAGCCAAAAGCTGTTTCCACAATCCCTACTCTTTCAAACATAAGTGATCAGTCAGGTTTTCTTATCTACGGGTATATTTTCATTAAAATCAGTAGGGAACTAAGGTGATTTACATCTTAACTTATAGCAATCCTTATGTCGCTTGCCTTACAGCGTCTGAAAAAAACTATATGTAGTTGCTGCACACTGTACACGAAGTAGAAAAGGGGTACGTTTCTGAAGAATCTGCGCCGCTACTTAGTGGGCAGTTGGTATCAGAAGAAAACTTGGTTTTATCAACCAAGTTGATGATGTAAACTTGCCCATGGTAAAGAATTTCTAAAGCTAAGGATTTGTCTTTAAGTGGAAGTAATCTATGTTACAGCCATTACGTTACGTTTTGTTTATTGGTTACGTCTTCAGAACGAAAAAGCCATAGCTTGTAATAGGTGGTCTGATGCCCCCTTTTGACCATTATCTGCGCATGAACAATGATGGAAAATGTTCCGAAGGTAGTATTTATATTTTGAAAGTTATGCTGCTTTGACCGTCCACTATTAGAAAAATTGGAAATTATTTTTGAGTGGATTACCTCTATAGACATTTTAAATGAAAATCTAGAGGTTCATGGCCATTTTGCTGTCGACTTAAAAAGGTCAGTCTATTGAAAGAGAAAGGCTGACTTTGCTGTATGTTTCTTTTGTCACAGATATCAATACCTTAATATTGAGACATGGTCTAATTACTTCCAAATCACAGTGCAAATTTTAAATAAGAGACTGAGACAAGTTACCACATGCATTATTCTAGTGTTCTTTTTAGAGCACGGAAAAGGCGAGAATACATGAAAAAATATCTCTTGGTACAATCGGTTATTTGTTCGTTTGTGGAAAACATGGCAAACAAATCTGCTTTCTCATATGTAGTAGCAAATTGGTAGAAACGAGGTCAAAACCATATTTTGGTGGTGCTGTTTTAAATTTCGCTCTAGAAAGTATATCGATCAAGATGATCATCGCCTAGCTCCTTCATCAAAGCCAAAAGAACAGAGCTTTTCTTTAAAACTCTTTTGTCGGAGTGTTCTCAGCACAATCTCAAGAAGGCGGAGATTATTCTTCATAGGTGTTTCCTGTTTTGTTTTCATTTCTAAGAAAAGAGGGAAATTTCCATATGTTTCGCTTTTTATCGGGAATATGGATGTTTGTTTAAACGGACAAAACCTATATCAACAATGTATGCTTTTTCATCTTATTCCTCCTTTCTCAGCAAATTCTTTATAAAAAGAAATGAATCTTATTGTAGTTGTAATGTACGTAATAGAAAAGTTGATCCGTCAAATGAGAAATTCAACATTGGAACTGGACCTAAATTATGAGTTACGAGCATACAACTTCGGAATTCACAGAACTAATATAAAATGTTCGTTATTTCCTTCTTCCTCCTTTTTTTATTTCGAAGAGCAGTGTATTTATATTGTATATGGATAATTACTAAATTGGAGTAAATCTATAACAACAATAGAAATTCTTTTATTTGATTCTATAGGAGGAGTTTCTTAAGAACGAGTTTTAAAAGCATGTTAAAAAACGCACTTTAAATTGATAAATTATTAATATTAAAAGTCGAACAACTTTCCTTTATTCTCTTCTCTCTACTTATAGTGCAATACATACTCGATGTATTCAGTTACAGCATTTTGATTTGTTCTAATTGGTATGTTTTGGTGCGCTGTCATTGGTACATTTCAATCATCATTATCAATTCGATTATTAGATGTTATCCCCATATAGGTAGGCTTTGCTACTGATCGGCTGTTATGCTTTGTGTTGGTAGAGATCCATGCATCAGGATTTTCGTTTCCGTTATTTCTAGTCTATCGATAGTGTTAGGATAGAGTCGTATGTGGATGGCTTTTTTCACCAATAATAACAAAAATACACTCTTTATGCATAGCCTTATAATGGTTTATATACGCACAGCAAGTTTGATTGGATAATTTGACTCTGTTGAATTTGCAGACTATTAACTCCTTCCCTTTTTAACATGGTTTACATCCGTTCAATGAGCTTAAACGCGACAATTCAGCGCTCTTGTGCAGTGCTGTTCTCGTAAAATCTAGATCTTGGATGTATTTTCATACCCGGTCGTAATTCCACTTTTTTTTTTTTCAGCGCCTCGAAGGAACATTTCAGGTAATTACCGTATCTGTACTAATAGATAGTAGAAACTGTAGGGATGGTTTTATGTAGAAAGATAACTTGGTGTTTAGTTGGTCAATTTATGCAACGACCTCTCCATTTGTGTACTTTTCTGTCCGGTTTGTGGTTTAACGACTTTTCTCGTTTTCTCCCAACATTTCTCACGTGGTTTGTTGCGCCGGCAAACCGCTAGTAAGTGTGTTTTATTGCTTAAGTAAATAGTGACCTTTATGTGTGACCGTTGATATGCTTCATCTTTTCGTTTCTTTCAATTGGCATACACGTTTTATAGTAACATTTTCTTTCGCTTGAAAGTTATCGCGGTTCCTTTCATGCCATTGTATACTTTCCCCAGAACTCGCTGTCTTAAAAGTGAAATAAAAATTGGTATAAGAATCTGTTTAATAATCTTTTTAAAAATAAAAACTAGTTAGCAGCACTCTTGCCAACTTAGTTTATTATCCGACCGGTTTGGTCTGATCACACAGACCTCATCAGGGATTTTGACGAGATGAACAAAATTTGACAGCAGTAACTCAATCACGAGAAAATTCGGAACTAAATAGGTCAACAAGTTCTCCAAGCCTCACTACCGCCCTACGGTGAACACGGCCTCCTGAAAAACTGAAAGACTATAATCTACTTGTGCGATACACCTAGACACTCGAAGCATGGAATTGAACTTTTCGACAATGTAACATATCCCAGTTTATCGTTTTTATAAAGACAAGTTACTTAAGTCAATCTTTTAAGTATACATGTATCCAAGTTTATAATCAAGAAGGGGAGAGATGTAGTGTTTTCGACAGCTGTCAATAACAGTGTTCGGAATGCTCCCGCGGTCAAAAAAAAAAAAAAGGAGTCTTCCGTAGTCGGAATTTATACGTATGTTGATTAAATATCGTCGGGTTTATATCTGAAGTTTCAGTGTTTACTTAAGCACAAACCCCACAGCCATTTCATAAACTCGGGCTTCGCGTTTGATGAAAGCCATCAGTTATCATACCAGTCCATTCTTCCTCTGTTAAATCAGACTGTGCATAGCCATTAAAATTGGCATCGTTCTAGTTTGCTTAGTTTCTCCCCAATGTAACTGCAATTCATAAGAAGTGTTCACCGTTAAGTCCAACCAATATTAATTGGAACGGCACCTCAAATTTAGTGGCAGTTGTTTACAAAGTTTCTGAAGCGAAATGAGAGAGGTTTGTTAGGCAATTGTCGATAAGTTTCTGCGTGGAAAATACAGAATTGAAAGTGAAAGCTTTTACTATTGGAAAAACTCGTATTGGACATTTTGGTGTGCTATATCGGTGAGCATTCGTAGTCATTACTTTGATTCTAGTCGCCGCCACGACAAAATATAGCGTTTTTTTGTATCTAGCAACACTTCATTTCAAGACGTGTCATGATTTATTCATAGTAGACCTTCATTTCTTTGAGACACAACAAAAGCCAAAAGCTGTTTCCACAATCCCTACTCTTTCAAACATAAGTGATCAGTCAGGTTTTCTTATCTACGGGTATATTTTCATTAAAATCAGTAGGGAACTAAGGTGATTTACATCTTAACTTATAGCAATCCTTATGTCGCTTGCCTTGCAGCGTCTGAAAAAAACTATATGTAGTTGCTGCACACTGTACACGAAGTAGAAAAGGGGTACGTTTCTGAAGAATCTGCGCTGCTACTTAGCGGGCAGTTGGTATTACAAGTAAACTTGGTTTTATCAACCAAGTTGATGATGTAAACTTGCCCATGGTAAAGAATTTCTAAAGCTAAGGATTTGTCTTTAAGTGGAAGTAATCTATGTTATAGCCATTGCGTTACGTTTTGTTTATTGGTTACGTCTTCAGAACGAAAAAGCCATAGCTTGTAATAGGTGGTCTGATGCCCCCTTTTGACCATTATCTGCGCGTGAACAATGATGGAAAATGTTCCGAAGGTAGTATTTATATTTTGAAAGTTATGCTGCTTTGACCGTCCACTATTAGAAAAATTGGAAATTATTTTTGAGTGGATTACCTTTATAGACATTTTAAATGAAAATCTAGAGGTTCATGGCCATTTTGCTGTCGACTTAAAAAGGTCAGTCTATTGAAAGAGAAAGGCTGACTTTGCTGTATGTTTCTTTTGTCACAGATATCAATACCTTAATATTGAGACATGGTCTAATTACTTCCAAATCACAGTGCAAATTTTAAATAAGAGACTGAGACAAGTTACCACATGCATTATTCTAGTGTTCTTTTTAGAGCACGGAAAAGGCGAGAATACATGAAAAAATATCTCTTGGTACAATCGGTTATTTGTTCGTTTGTGGAAAACATGGCAAACAAATCTGCTTTCTCATATGTAGTAGCAAATTGGTAGAAACGAGGTCAAAACCATATTTTGGTGGTGCTGTTTTAAATTTCGCTCTAGAAAGTATATCGATCAAGATGATCATCGCCTAGCTCCTTCATCAAAGCCAAAAGAACAGAGCTTTTCTTTAAAACTCTTTTGTCGGAGTGTTCTCAGCACAATCTCAAGAAGGCGGAGATTATTCTTCATAGGTGTTTCCTGTTTTGTTTTCATTTCTAAGAAAAGAGGGAAATTTCCATATGTTTCGCTTTTTATCGGGAATATGGATGTTTGTTTAAACGGACAAAACCTATATCAACAATGTATGCTTTTTCATCTTATTCCTCCTTTCTCAGCAAATTCTTTATAAAAAGAAATGAATCTTATTGTAGTTGTAATGTACGTAATAGAAAAGTTGATCCGTCAAATGAGAAATTCAACATTGGAACTGGACCTAAATTATGAGTTACGAGCATACAACTTCGGAATTCACAGAACTAATATAAAATGTTCGTTATTTCCTTCTTCCTCCTTTTTTTATTTCGAAGAGCAGTGTATTTATATTGTATATGGATAATTACTAAATTGGAGTAAATCTATAACAACAATAGAAATTCTTTTATTTGATTCTAAAGGAGAAGTTCCTTAAAAACGAGACTAAAAAGCCGAACAACATTCCTTTGTTCTCCTCTCTCTACTTAGAGTGCAATATATACTTGTCACCATTCATGTGCAGCACTTTGATTTGTTCTAATTGGTGTGTTTTGGTGCGCTGTCATTGGTGCATTTCGATCCGCATTATCATTTCGATTATTAGATGTTATCCCATGTAGGTAGGCTTTGCTACTGATCGGCTGTTATGCTTTGTATTAGCAGGGATCCATGCATCAGGATTTTCGTTTCCGTAAAATCTAGTCTATTGATAGTGTTAGGGTAGAGTTGTATGTGGATGGCACTTTTACCAATAATAACAACAATAAAAAGTCTTTATGCATAGCCTTATAATGGTTTATATGCGCTAACCAAGTTTGATTGGATAACTTGACTCTGGTGACTTTGCTGACTATGAATTCCCCCCCTTTTCAACATGGTCTACACCCGTTCAGTAAAGCTCATAGCCGACAACTCAGCGCTCTTGTGTCGTGGTGTTCTCATGAAATCAACGGAGTCTTGGATGTATTTTCATACCCAGTCGTAATTCCCTTTGTTTTTTCTTTTCAGCTCCTGTCAGTTGGCCCCACCGCTTGTCAGGTAATAATAATATCTGTGCTAATAGATAGTAGAAACTGTAGAGATGGTTTTATGTAGAAAGATAAAAGAAGGGTCCCCTATGAGCAATATCCCGAAGAGAAATATCGCTTCTGGCTGTCATCTTTTAAAAAGAGATTGATCAGCTTTTATAGAGGACTACTCGACGAAACTACAAACATCTTCCCCAAATAGTGTGCATACCGTCCAGATGCCAAGTGCCCTACATTCTTCCGTGGGAATTTGAAGAACCCAAAATCCTCTAACGATACACCGCAAACTTTTATTCAGGTAAATAATACACACTTAGGGTGCGTTCCTTGGGAGAATCCGGATCTGGATTTCTGATCTTTGGCGTTCCTTTCGAGCAAATCCATTTTCAGATCAGTGATCTATCAAATCCACTCTGAACAAGGATTCATCGGATCACATTCATTTAGATCTGCGCGATCTAAAGACTGGTCATATGATTACTGATCCAACGTATTCCCTTGGGCGAAGATCCGAAATTGATTAATCATTTTGCCCAGCGGTGCTCAATTTCAAGCAAGTAGGTACTTCATATATTGACTAGAAAGATTGTTGGTAATCGCTCCACTAATTCTGCGATAAACACGAAATAAAATCGATTTTGTAATGTTAAATCGATTGGCCACTGATCGCAGGCATTCAGGGTTCACGAGTATACATATCGTAATCAATACTTGCTTTTGTTTTAATTCCATTGTTTGAATTAACCATGAGAAAATGTGCTTCGCGCTAAAAGCCCGTGCAGTTAGACGAGCCAGCCACGTGCATACAAAAGTCTTAAAATAGCGCACTTTTTAAAATTCTCCAAGAGCTCGTCTAAAACTCCGTTCCTTTCATGCACCGTGATCTGTGTGATCTTGGATCACAAATTCTAATCCGGACCCTCCCAAAGGAAGGCATCCTAAAGCTCCGTTCCTTTGATGCACCGTGATCTGTGTAAAAACTATGCAAACCTTATCATTATTCGTCATTTTGTTTTCATTTTAGTGGAGGAGGAGATCATGCGAGAAGGTAATTTTATTTGTTACCAATAATAATGAAACTTATTAACTTTTGAAAATGTTTTAATATTCACTCTATGCACTACACATTGGATATGTGTGTATGTTTTATAAGAGTATTATATTCAGTAATACAATCACTTTCTTTTACTCTTTACATTCTTTGGGCAGATTCTATTGTGTTAAATTAATCAAAGTTTTTTTATTGTATAAAGAAGATACAGCACAATGACACAGTCTATTGTATTTACATTATTGCACTTGCCTGTTTTCTAAAGCATACAAATGTAGACGTGAATTTCTGTTCGTTACATGTCTATGCAAGCTATACCTGTTGTCCTCGAGTTTCTACTGAGACCGGTTAGTGCCATCTCGCATTTTTCATCAACTTTTTTTTCACGACCTCAACTTTTTTTTACGACTTCGACTTTCCTGCACGTTTTATTAACTTTTTTATACGACTTCACCTTTTTTTCACGACCTCAACTTTTTTTCACGACTTTAACTTTCCAGCACGACTTTAATTTTTCGGAACGACTATTACTCAACAGTGTATACAAATGTTTACGTTGAGATTAAATGTCATCTTGTCCAAATTTTATGGGCATTTGGCTTTGGTGGAACGTTAACAGTCGAATTGCTTTTATGTTAACACACAAGGCTATAAGTAAAGCAGTTTTGTGACGGTTCAAAAAGAAACAAAGCCAAAGCGATTATTCTTGTCAGTAAGAACAGGTTTAAACAAGAAAATAAGCCAATCATGCAGATGTGGACGAGCGAGTTGGCCATGTCTGTATTTACTTCTTGTCAGTACATTGGCGATACAGGGAACCAGTCTAACTTAAGTCAACGCAAATATTTTATCCTCCATTGAAAACCCATTTATTTTCTAGCAAGCGAGTGCAAGACAAGCACACTAAGCATAATTTGATGGAGTAAACTTATCCAATTTAACTTTGCCCAATTATATATTAAAGTTTTTACCAAACAGTATTACAGTAACTACATTGCGATCAACCATAGGTGACCTGCCGCGTTGATACTTGTGTTGAGTCTTCTGTTGGAAAAATTAAAGTTAAAGGTCGTGCCATGAAAAAGTCGTGCCAGAAAAAGTCGCACCAGAAAATTAAAGTCATGCCGGAATGTTTAAGTCGCGCCATAAAGTTGAAGTCGTGAAAAAAATGTTGAAGGCGTGAAAAAAAGTTGAAGTCGTAAAAAAATTTGAAGTCGTGAAAAAAAGTTGAAGGCGCGAAAAAAAGTTGCTGAGAAATATGCGATGGCACTAACTGGGTTTCGTAGGTTTAAACTCATCGTATCTTGTCTTCTTTGCCCGTGCATGTCCAATATACACCAATAGATTCCGATGGAAAACGTGGTTTTCCGATAGAATGGGCAAATTTCTATTCGTGAAATCTTTCAACGGAAGTTAGATAACCGGAAGTCATGACACGAATAGTACTAGAAGTCAGGGAACAGAACAGAATGACGGGAGGTCATGACAATAAAAACTTACTAGAGTAAAACATTACTGGAAGTCAGATGAACATCAGGGAGGGCAGATATGTTGTCCGATGGTATCCATCGGTATCTATTTGTTAGATGGAATCCGATCGAGTTGATCGGAGTCCGATGAGTCCATGCGCGTCCATTGGAATTACTGGAAGTCTAGTGGTAAAGCTAACTTCAGACAAGTGCAGTATATGTGAAATATGCCCAGTCTTAAAGCCGTGAAGCGAAACAGCCCATTTCAAGCATGGATGACTTCAAATATACTTCCTTTTTGAAGCCTATGATCGAAACAGCGCTTGAAAACATACCTCGTACTTTAAGCACGGATGACTTCAAATCTCGTTCTTCAAGCCTTAAAGCAAAAAGACACTGAACATCGAAAAATGAAGTACAGAAAAGGTGAAATATGCCTCGTTCTTAAAGCCCTTCATCGAACAATCACTTTCAAGCGCGGATGACATGAACTATACCACTTTCTTGGGGCCATTTAGGCGAAACGGTTCTTAACACAGACGAATTGAATGCAGCATAAGTAAAATATGCCTCGTTTTTAAAGCCACCAAGCAAAACGACTCATTTCAAGGGTGAATCACATGGAACATATCATGTTCTTCGAAACAGCGTTTTGCACTGACATGTGGCAAGTCTCTCACCATCTGAAAATCGATAACTCCGAAGGAATCGATTGGATTCTATTCGTGTCCACTGGAATATATTGACACCGATAGAAGCATGCACATGATCGATTTATCGACTTCCGGTGTATTTGATCATTATCACTTACGGTAGTATAATTCCATTTTTATCAAGACTTCTGGTTTTCCGATGGAAGGCATATGTTTTCCGATAGAATCTATTTGTGTGCATTGGACCTCCTTCTGTGAAGACATCCCATGCAGTTTTGGGTCGACCTTTGGTGATCGCGTGACATTTAAAACAAAGATCTTGTGCTTTCAAGAAGTTTACTGAGACTTTCATTGGAAATTCTGTGAACAGTTTGTGACTGCCTAGTCTTATTATACCTTACCCGACTGTTCGGCATATGGCCACAGAGAATGAACTGCTCGCAAGAAGCCTCTCTTGTTGCCTATTTAAAACAAAACATCTGCAAACGCCTCCTGTCCCTTTGAATTTTTCAATCATATATGTGTAACGATTACATCAGCAATTTGAGTTTATCGTTTCCCCATTAAAAATGAGACTTGCCCAGTTGCATCTAATTCCTGTTTATTTTTTATTCTTTTTGCTTTTTTCATGATTTCTTCACTTTCATGATTTCTTCACTAATTGCAATTTGGTGTAACTATTCTCAAAAAGAGAAGAAAATGTGAACGCTCCCATATTATTCTAACATTGATAGCTAGACTGTTACAAATAATGTTGTAAAAACTACCAACCTTATCTCTCTGATTTGTCGATGTGATCCATTTTAATACATGTATATGTATATATATGAATATATTTTCAAAATAGACATCTGAGTCAAAATGCACGATCTGTACAACTGAATCTACATCGTCGCGTCAATTACAGCTTATCACTAATCGCTGCTAAGATGTCGTCCAATTGACGCCTCTATTCCATTTAGAAATTCATGCTCGAGGTCCTGTGGCGGTTAACGCCTAAAAGATGGAGAGGCACTGTAAACAGAATTCCAGTTATCTTGGTTGGACAAGAGCGAATAGGAAAAACTAGTCTAAAGAGATCTTTTAAAGGAGAGCTTTCCGACAAATTTGAAGAAAGTACGGATGGAATTTAAGCAGATCCTGCATATTTCAAAGTTTCTAAAGAGATTTGGAAGACCGGGAAAAAATTGAAGATGCGGGTCCAGGCTTTTTTTTTTTTTTTGCCAATAATAACGACATTAAAGGTCCTTATGCATAACCTTATTATTATTCATATACTGTCACAAAGTTTGATTGGATAACTTGACTCTGGTGACTTTGCTGCCTATTAATTCCGAAACTTCCCCTTTTTAAGCTTAAATTAAGGATTAACCCTTCCTCTTCAAAAACCCGCTCTTGGGTTTCTCAATTTTTGCCTCTTGCAATTGAAAAACCGAATTTTATGAACGCTGCTGAGCTAGTTTCGGCCCTTTCTTCTCTAATTATGGGCTTTTCAAGGCGCGAGTGCATTCAAATCTCCCACTTCAGTACTGATGAATAATTAATAATGTCCAGGCATTGTACGCGATGTCTTCCCTTTTAAACATGGTTTACATTCGTTCAATAAGCTTCTACGCGACAAATCAGCGCTCTTGTGTGGTGGTGTTCTCATAAAACTAACGGGGTCTTGGATGCATTTTCACACCCTATCATAATTCCACTTTTCTTTTCTTTTCAGACCTTGGGAAGAGATGGGAAGGTAATTATCTGTGCTAATAAATCATAAAAATCTTCATTATCGGCACAAAGTCTTCCAGGTAGCACACGAAGGCCGACATCATGGTACACAGTCCATATAAACTTTTTAGTCAGTTTTGTCTTATTTTCACCGAGGGAGAAAAAGAGGGAAGGTAACTAGCTGTGGCAGTGGATTATTGAAATTTTCATTATCACACAGACTTACAAGCTTTGCACTAAATGACAAACAAAAGTAGGAAAGGTTTTATTTAGATAGATAACATTACGTTGGTCAATTTGTACAACAACTCCCTATTTGTGTACTTTTGTCTACGGCTTGTGGTTTATTTAACAAAAGAAGCGCTGAAAGTCATCATTTCTGTTTTGTTTTTGAACACGATTCTTTATATGCTACAACAGTGTTAGCTGTGTTTGATTCTTTGATTCCCGTACGTAAGTTTGCAATGTAACCGAGCGTGTAAACCTTTAAAACTCGGACTGTCCATTTCGTTTTCTCTTTGAGGTTTTGTCTCTACTCACGTTCTAATAACGTAAATTACGGTGCCTGTCATGTTTACAAACCTTTCTTTGGTTCTTCTGTTGCCACTTGCCGGCTTGCTTGTTCCGAAATTTCACTCTCAATCAACGAAGTAAAGCTAGAGAGGAGTCCCGTAAAAGGCCGAGCATAGTACAATTTGGCAGATGGCGAGACAGCTTCAGTTCAGCTTTATGCTCTATACTCTCATAGAGCACGCTCCTTCGACCAATGATAGCGCGCGTTATATTCGAACTTAATTATAGAAACTTTTCTCGTGTTCTTCTAACATTTCCCACGTGGTTTATTGCGCCGGTAAACCGATAGTAGTTATGGTTTATTACTTAAGTAAAAGTGACTTTTACGCATGACCGTTATACGCTTCATCTTTCCATTACTTTCAATTGGCATAAAAGTTGGGTATTGAGAAGTTATCACGGTTCCCTTCATGCCATTGTGCTTTCCTCAGAGCTCGCTGTTTTAAAAGTGAAATGAAATTTCGCAATTTTTTTTTTTATAGAAGTTTTCGGTAGGACCATGGTAAATCAAAATTATAGTATACATTCTCCTGTAAGAAGTATGTATATTTTACTACGAACTTCAAAATGCGAGAGTTACCTTTTTTCCTGACTAGGAAAAATTCGGTTATTCCGAAGCTTAGGTATACATTAGGCACTGAGACAATATCTCAGCGACTGCAAACGAGGCGCGTTTAGCAGAGTTAACTCGCGCCGCGGTAATTTTAACCTTTTAAAGCGTGAATATGGATATGTTTATATAGAGAGAGAATAATACATGGGCGCGCGTAGATATGGAATTTCTCTTCGAGTGTGATAGATATCGAGTTGAACACGAGAAGAGAAATTCCATATCTACAAACAACTATGTATTATTTTGTTTATCATATGAACACAATAGCCCTTTTACTGAGAAGAAAAGCCGACTTCATTACTGAATGAAAATAAATGATCGACAATCCCCGAACAATGATCGTAAAGTGCGTTGGCGCTAACTCTTAGGATGGAAAAATGCGTTGAATCACGATTACAAAAACAACACCGGTTGTCATTTTCAATTTATCAAAATCTCATTTATTGACTTTGTCCTTACCAACAAAAGAATTCTTTCAGGTAAACAGCCATAATCGGCCAGCGACAAATCTATGAGTTTTTGATTTTCATCCTCAGCCGAGAGAAATGCTAACACCAAAGCAACTGAATGGGTAACTTTCGGTTTTTCTTTTAGTGTATTGGTTTTCCCCCCTCTCAAGGGTTTGAACCTCACTGTCTGTCAACAATACGGATTTTTTAGTGTTTTAGCCGTCATAATTCGAGGAAGCTCCGACAAGCAACTTGCATTAAGAATCGTGAAGGCTTTGCCTTTCATTCATCAACCGAGTGGTGCCAAAAGGCGAGTGACGTATCGGCAGCTGATTGGGTATATCAACACATGTGAAAAAATACGATACGTGTGTTGTTACAGCTTTTCTCAGGGCCGGAAATCCTTGTATAACACCGCAGTTTATGTGATAAATAAATATATATATATATATAAATATATATATATATATATATATATATGTATGTATATATATATTTTTTCTGTAATATTACTTGGAGCAACTCAATACCAACAATGGAAATTGTTTTTTCAAGATTTTCTTCGACAAAATAAGATGATTTTCTTGAAAACGAGAACTATAAGTTTCTAATAACTCTAATTTTCTTTCCATTTTAGAGTTTTATAAGCTCCACCGAGGTAAGTTTTGTATGATCGTTGTAATAATTTCCATCTTACAGTGTTTCAATATTTACACTATACATTACACAGTGGGTGAATATGTTTGTTTTGAGTAGAGATAATATACTCAGTAGGACATTTACCCTCATTTCCTTGATTTTCTTTTAACACTTTTCATTTGATTTTACTTATTTAAGCATCTTATTATAATTTTTACCAGACAATAACAAAATAACATCAACAAGAAAACACGGTACAGATAACGCAAAGAGACAAACGTGCTTTCATTCATGTAGTGGCGAATTAAGTTTAAGCGAGGTTAAAAACCATGTTGTGATGTTAGCTTTTAGAAGTTTAGCTTTTGAAAGGATATCAACGGAGAAAAGTTACCAGTTCTCGGTCTCAGTCTATTTCCCAGTCAGTTTACCATAACAACATTTCATAGCTCCTTCCGCGGTGGGATGCAAATGATTATATATAAACCTCTCAGTCTCCTGCCTCAAAGCACAGAGAACATGTTTTGGTGATCAAAGATTTCCTCTCTTTTTCCTGAGTGAAATAACAGATATGCCGCAGTGAATTCCACTAGTTTTATTTATCTGAAAAACATCAGGATTATTTTATTATTCTCGTCTACAGAAGTGTGCATTATTACTGACGCCTTCTACTAATAATGTTTACATAAGGTAATTGAATTAAATCAGTTAGCCAATAAACTCTAACTGTTCCCACGGCTCGTGTTTCATGTCAGATCTCAAACAATCGTTCAGCCGTCGATTGCTTCACTAAAAGTCACAAAAGCTCACTTGCTCCTGTTTTGGCTAACTAGTAACCACAAGAAGACGGTCTTCTTCGCTTTTAACAGCAACTGCAGGTTTTTTTTTTTTTTTGCGTAAATAATCAGGTAGGCGCCAAAGCGTTCAATGGCTGGTTTTAAAGAAACTTAAAACCTGTGCAAAGAAGTTCCGAATTTGATTTACGTGTGTTATTGACAAGCGCTCTATTGTAACAATTTTTTCTCAGTAGCAGTTGAGTAGAACTGCTAATGTTTTATCTGTCAAAAATTATTTGATGTCCTAATTCAGCAAAAATTTGTTTGAAAATTATTTTAAGTAACCGATGTGAACTTTAACTTCACGCATGTTGAATTTACTTGGAACACGCAAAACATGCAGAAGCAGAAAATTTCCAGAGAAACATCAAACCTAACAATCAAAGACCTCGGAATTTGAGGAGTAAAGAAGGTGGCTATGCTGAATTGACTATTATTTTCCATGTTATTTTTTTTCCTTTTCCTGTCATTGGGATTACCGGAATGTTTTAGTTTTCCCAGAAAAAAACGGTGTGGTTTATAGGGGTTTTTTTCGGCAGGGAGTACGTGAATCATTTTGACTTTTTTCACGGTTAGCCGTTCAGAACATTGATGTATTTCAGTTGTCTCCCAAATTTTATTTGCGCGAGCTTTTCATCTCCAGTGTGTAGAAGCTCAAGGAACAATATGATGCTGCTACCTGATATTTTACCTTGTACCTTTTTCACTGAGTAAAGTGAATTTCAAGTGAGCCTCAAGCGAGGAAAATGCAAAAGAAAAATACAAAGAAACGAGTAACAAATACTAGCCTGTTAACAGCAATTTGTTTGTTTTGCATTTTTTTTTTCTTGTTTTGGTATTCGAGGCTCGCATTTCGCTTGCACTTTAGACTATGATTTCAGAAGATAAAGAAAATTCGTGAA